TTCATCTTGTTTCTCTTCTGTAGTGGAACCCCCACTGGAACATTCACGCTAGCTGGCGCAAAAGCTACCACCACATTACTAGACCCAGATGGCCCTGGTTGCTTGACTCCACTTCAGGTGTATGAGGCATTTCAAGAACTCGATTGGCCATCGCCTGTAGTGTAACATAATTCCTTTGCATCTCCTTATAAGCTTCACCCCCATATCTTACCGATTGCTTTTCTACCCTAACCCTATCCACCACCACCCTACCATCTTTTACCAAACCCTCCACAATAACTTCAGATTCGGTGCTTTCATTACTAGCCACTTTAGAAATGGTACGCCCCTCACTTTTCGTTTCTTCCCCACCAAAGGCTTGAGGATTGTTCACTTCTTTATCAGAACTATTAGACATCTACAAACATAAATGAACGATACTAAACGATAGGCCAAAGTTCAAAGCAAAATACCTAACGGTTGGAATGCCTAGGATTTTACTCTAAGGAGGATCTTCAAATGTTCATGCATAATTTCAAAGTTTCATGCAAAACTTCACCTAAAAAGTGCATTTCAATTAAAAAATAGGGCAGCAAAACAAAAATACCTTGCACAGGAAATCACCTCGCCTTTCCTCACTCAAAATCTCACTGGAAATTGCCTATTCCTATTCTCTCCAAACGACTCTCAAATGCTAAGTACTCCTCATTCTTCCCCTTGAAGCCATTTTATAGGTGCCAGCCATACCAACGCCTCAACTTACGAACCGTCGCTATTATTGCATCTCAACCGCCCGCACTAACGTCTTGATTTCCACACCAACGAAACCTTAACGAAGCCTGTTCGATTCCCACTACTTAGACCAATACACACAAGGCAACACTCGGGCACGACTTGTGCATGACGTCAACCCTACCGATCGACAGGCTATGTGCCGACCAGGTAAGGGACTCACGCACGACTCGTGCATGATGTCAACCATATCGATCGGCAGGCTTTGTGCCGATTGTGAGGGGGACTTGTGCATGACTCGTGCATGATGTCAACCCTCCAATCGGCAGGCTCTGTGCCGATAGTGTAGGGGGCTCACACATGACTTGTGCCAGGATCATTTTCCCCTGCCAATTGGTATGACAATACCTCTGATTAGCAACTTGAGGGACTACTGTTTGTACCATAATCAACCAAGCACATTTGGGACTAGGAGAATTCAAGATCTTCTTATGGTAAATATTTTGTCTGCTACGCAAAAACCCCCATATACATCTCCATAGAAAGAATTTGATCTTATTAGGCACAAACTCCACAATTTTTTCCATAACAATTTTTCATCTTGTACCGAGGACCTTTCCATGCCATTTTCCCGCTGTTTCTTCATTCATGCAACCATATAACCACTTCTGATTGAGTATTTACCGCTTCGATCACAGTGCCAAATTAATTTATCCTTTCTATTATTTGAAGCCAAAGGAATTTGGAGGATAGCCTCTGCTTCTTGTTCCCAAAAATTAGCTTTTAGTAACTCCTCATCCCATTGTCTTGCTGTAGTAAACAGCTCACATACCTTCATAGAAGCATCAAATTGTGGCGTTGAGATGATCTTGAAATTCATTGGTAAAGGCACCTAACGATCCTGATAAACCTGTATATCGTCACCATTTCCCACTCTCCACCGCAAACCCGCCTTCAACAAATCCTTACCCCAGATCAACGAACTCCTAATAAGTGAGGGTCGATATCCCCAACCAGCATCTAGAAAATTACAATGCGGAAAATATCATGCCTTAAAAATTCTCGCTGTGAAGGAATTACAATTAAAAAATAATATCCAACTTTTTTTTGCAAGGAGAGCTTGATTAAAAGCCTCAAGGTCTCTAAATCCCAATCCTCCATTCTGCTTGCTCACACATAATGTTTCCCACTTAGTCCAATGAATACCTTGCATATTCTTACTCTTAGACCACCAGAATTTAGCCATCATGCCATGAAGCTCCTTACACATCCCCTTAGGCATTCGAAAGCAGCTCATCAAGTAGGTGGGCATAGCCTGCAACACAACTTTAATCAGGATCTCTTTACCAGCTCTAGAAAAGAGCTTTTCCTTCCACCGACTAATTCGTTTTCTGATTCGATCTTTGACAATCTCGAAAATCTGTTTTCTTCCCTTGCCAGTCATGAAAGACAAACCTAAATATTTTTCATGGCAAGACACCAACGGAATTTCCAGCAAATCCAATACTATTTGTTTTTCAACAGCAGTAGCATTTGGGCTCAAAGTTAAAGCCGACTTTGTGAAGTTGATCTTCTACCTAGAAGTCTCCTCATACACTTGAAATATATTATTCACTGTTTCACAGGACTCTTTGGTTGCATCCAAAAAGAGAATGCTGTCATCTGTAAAGAATAAATGACTAACCGATGGAGCTCCATTAGCAATTTGAATCCCACGCAAACTCCCTATCCTTTCAGCATCCTACAACATCCTTGAAAAGCCTTCAGCACACATTAAAAATAGGTATGGTGAAAGGGGGCACCCTTGTCTTAACCCTCTCTGAGGAATAACATGCCCGAATGGATTACCTTTCCAAAGCATCGAAAAAGTGACTGTTGTTAAGCAGTCCATTATCGGTTTTACCCACTCTGAATCAAAACCCAATCTCAAAATCATTGCTTGCAAAAAAGACCACTCTACTCAATCATAGGCCTTAGCCATGTCAAGTTTAATGGCCATCTTTGTTTGTTGCCCCTTCTTTAAACCTTTCAGAAAATGAATTGTCTCAAAGGCTGCCATCACATTATCAAGAATTAGATGTTGGGGGTACAAAAGCACTTTGCGACTCTGAGATAACTGAAGGCAATAAATACTTGAGTCTATTTGCAAAAGCCTTTGCAATAATTTTGTAAATCGCTGTACATAGGCTTTTTGGTCTAAATTAAGTCACTCTGGAGGGTGTCTGCACCTTAGGAATTAAGGAGATTAGAGTGTGATTAAATTCTTGGACACTGCTTTCTCCATTCAATATCTGAAAGCACTTGCATGACACCTTGTCCCCTACAATGTGCTAGTAGTGTTGATAGAAAAAATAAAGAGACATTATGTTAGAAATATTTTACTGGGATGTCCTTTCTTTAAAGGATGCATGTTGTGCAGGGAGAAAACTGATGTAGTATGTATACAGATGCCTTTTTCTGTTCAAATTTGTAAATTTTCTGTACCATGCTGATGCCTTTTTCTTTTTCGTTTTCTTTTCCTTCTCCTTTTTTACTAAAAATAAAAGTACGACGCAAACCCTAGAAAACTCAGCATTTCAAGCAGACACTGCATAGGCAAGGAGTGTGTAGTCCCAAATATGATATGAATGACCGAAATATGCTAAAGCATATATCATAAACAAAATTAGCCTCTATGAAGATATTTCAAAATCACAATGTTCATTTTTTGTGTTTGTGATGGTTGTTTGTGCGTCGTTCATTTTTTTCTTTTTGTTCATCGCTCATGCATGCGCAAGGAATATTTGTGCATTGTTCATGTGATAGCTTTAAAACTTTCTTTAATTTCCCGTGCAGGTCTACAAAATGATACAACATTTGAGGTAGAAGCTTGAACGTAATCAATTCACTGCTTATGGGGTTAATTTCAGAGCCTTAATACCGATCGGTTTCTTTGATTTCAGTTTCCAATAACTCCCTGGGGCCTGCAACGACTGCTGGAATATGTCAAGCAAAACTATGGAAATCCTCCAATATATATCCATGAAAATGGTCTCTCTCTCTCTCTCTCTCTCTCTCTCTCTCTCCCCCCTAAATAGTGAATTTTAATCAAAGTACTGCTAGAGTGCATTTATATGAAGACATATATAATGTGAGAAAACATAACGCAGCAAAAAGATAAAAACAAATAAACTCTTCAGAATGGTGAAATTTAATGAAAAAATCTGGCATCCAATATATTTTAGGTCAACGAACTCGACGCAATTCATCATTAGAGGATTGGCCAAGGGTGAAATATTTGGACGGACACATCCAAGCTTTGCTTGAAGCTGTAAGGTATACCTATTTTCTGTCGATTATAATTTAAGCCGAGGGTTATATGATTTATCATGTTCTCTCCATTTTGTAAAGGCTAACTGGCCAAGTACAAACAAAGGTGTTTATGAGATGCGGAAAGATATAATACCTGTTTTTAAATTACTAATGGATGCTATGAAATATTTACTTTGGAAGGAATGGATCAAACGTCAGAGGCTATTTTGTATGGTCCTTCTTGGATTCCCTTGAGCTGTTGGACGGCTATGAATCGAGCTACGGCCTCTACTACATCGATTTGGATGACCCCGATTTAAGAAGACAACCCAAACTCTCTGCTCACTGGTACTCCCAGTTTTTAAAGAGAAAGAACGTCATCAGCTTAGACGGGTTTATTAAATCCCTTTCCCATGATCGCGTTCAGTAGATTTCACTATACATTGTTAATTAACGATGGAGTGTAAAGAAAGATGCATCTAATATGTTTTTTTGTTCTTGCATTCTTGGTTTAGGGCAGGACATTGTGCTTCTATGTCGTCTAATTCCCAAAATACCTTTTAGACTACTTAAATCCCCAATATCCTTACGGATCGAAAAGTGACCATCGTGACTTTACAATTCTGAACCGAGACTTCACTTTTTGATAAAAAAAAAGCCCGTTGACAAGAGAAACAATGAAATAGGGCTCCTTGTGTTTTCAATTCCTAACCCAATATGATATTTGAATTTTTGTGGGAAATGACCCTCAGTGCCACCCCTTTAATAATTTTAACTAAAAATATCATCCCTTCCCAATTTTTTTATAACTATCAACTATAAATAGAAAATTATTGTACCCTTATTGCTCTCCTAACACATTTTCTGAAATTGACCTCCCGCCCATCAGCTCTCCGTCGCTCAGTCTCTTCATCTTCACTCTCTGGTCACTCTGCTCTCACTCTCTCGTCTCTCAGCTCTAACTCTCTCATCTCTCGTCGCTCAGCTGTCACTCTTGCTTCTGTCTTCCTCTCCCAGCAAAATATGTGCATCGAAGAACAACGCCATCATTCACAGCAAACAGGTACTGTTCATCGGAATTCTT